AGGACATACGGCAGCATTCATGGACGTGCTGATAAATGTGTCAGGCGTCATCCCTTTGCCCTCTGGGGAGTACCCAGAGCTATGACGAGGGGGACCTGCGAGTTGCTTTGTGCCTGAGACAGCAATAGATGTCGTTTCAGAGAGAACATTTAACAGTCGCTGACGTTTATTTGGAGCTTATCGTGAATCCAACACCGACTTAAGCGTTGGATCTCGTTGTTTATTTTAGTAGATCCTGTTATTCACCCGATCTCACATAGTGCCTGCTACACTGCCTCACTGGGGACTCCTGCAAACCCCTGTCCTCTCTGGCGACTGCAGGATAAGAGGGTGCCACTTCCACTGTTGAGCCCTGATGTGAATCCAACACCGACTTAAGCGTTGGATCCCGTTGTTTATTTTAGTAGATTTGCTATTCACCCGATCGCACACAGTGCCTGCTATACTGCCTCACTGGGCACTCCTGCAAACCCCTGTCCTCTCTGGCGACTGCTGGATAAGAGGGTGCCACTTCCACTGTTGAGCCCTGAAAGTCAGAACCTCCATTATACTCCAGGCACCACAGCCATCGTACAATTTGTGGTGATGTGATGGCGTTTCTCTCTGCTAGTCTACTGAGATGTGATGGAAAGCCCTGTATATGTTGCAGAGTTTTTCGAAGCAATCGATCAAGTAGTATATCTTATAGACTCATAGGACTTTGGCTTGCTAACCTGGCTGCAGACTAGAGTCACCTAGGATGTTTTGAGAAGTAGAATCTTGGGCCTTAGTCTGGTCTTACTGAATATCAGGGGGTGAGGCTCTCGAATATGTATCTCTGAAATTTTCCTGTGTGTTTCTGATATTCTTCCATGTTTAGGAATCACCAGGTAGCTCACCCTCCTTGTGGTAGAAAGGGCAGATTGAGCTTCAGGAGATAGAGATACAGGGACTTGCTGGAGGAGGAAGGGGTAGAGCTGAGACTGGATCCTAACTTTGAGAAGTAGAATCTTGGGCCTTAGTCTGGACTTACTGAATATCAGGGGGCGAGGCTCTCGAATATGTACCTCTGAAATTTTCCTGTGTGTTTCTGGTATTCTTCCATGTTTAGGAATCGCCAGGTAGCTCACCCTCCTCGTGGTAGAAAAGGCAGATTGAGCTTCAAGAGATAGAGATTTGCCGGAGGAGGAAGGGGTAGAGCTGAGACTGGATCCTAACTTTCCAACCTAAATTCTGTGCTTTTTCTAGGCATCTGCCATGCCTTGTCTGGCTAGGTCTGGGTAATGCGAGAGGGCAAAGTTCCAGGAACATTCCTCTCTCTTCTGTTTATTTGATCAAGCTTGCTGCTTCTCTGTTTCAGGTTTCATGGGGAAGGATAT